GGGGCAGAACAAGGGAGACTTTTCACAATACAGAAATACACCCCACCCAGAAAGGAGACTCTTCCAAAAGCTGTACTAAAATACCAAGTGAAATAAAACAAATACTTCTTTTGCTACCTTAGTTACACGATTCCAATACGCAACTCTCAGAACAACTTAAGTTTGCTGCTAAAATACGCTTGTGCGTTCTCCTGCCTTTAAAACATCCCAAGTCTGCCTGGGAGCTCCCCACAGCCCAGGCTGTAAGCAGGGACCACGCGGTGCTGCCAGTGGCACAGAGCTCGCCCCAGGCTGCGAGATGCGGGTCCGTGCGGTGCCGGCTCCTCTGCTGCGGCATGAACACCAGTCCATAGGGTTTTGGTTTTTTTTTTTGAAAGAAGCATTGAGCCAGTCAAACCGTTTCAGTTTCATGGCAATTTTCACTTGCAAATCATAAATAAAAACTTCAAACGCCCAACATTCTTACCTGATATTTAAACCAATGAAGTTCATCCATGTAAAAATATAGTCTCCTCCAAAAAACATCCCAATATAGGTTATTAAAATATTCTGCAAAGGAACAAGATTTTAGCAACAAGAGCGTAAGTTTCTATATAGCCCGAGACAAGTGTATGCTCTATGCATTAGAGCAATGTAGAGACAGGAAACCCCAGATGCAGTGTGAAATAGGCAAGCAGCGACAGTACTGGGTTCAAAGTGGCTGGTTTTAGAGCTGCTGAGAAAGGATCCTGAACAGGCTTTGATTGCTGGGGAGCAGGGCAGTGCAGCCGCTGGGCTGCAATGCTCTCCCTCGAGACCGGCACTAAAGCCAGAAAAATGCCCAGGAGTGCCCGTCTATTTTTGCAACGGGCTCGTTGGGCCGAGGTGACCTAGATCACGGCTGTTTCTGGGCATTTTGCACGTCATTAGCCCCAGGGAAGCTAAATTCACTGACTGCAGTCAGCACCACAGACGGCTGCTTGCTGTGACTGCTGTACAAACATGCACAGAGTGTCTCTCTACTCCAGACAGCAACAAAAAAAAAGACCACCCCAAAAATTATCCCCTGGAGCCATCCTCCCCTCCGTGTGGCACACAGCAAAAGCCCCAGAGCCTCCGCCCAGCCCTTCCCTGCTGAGCAGATACCGCTGCCTGTGCGGGCAGAGCCAGGGGATGCACTGCATAATGCCGGAGCGGCACGAAGCGGGTGCAGGGAGGCTGTGGATGCCCCAAGGCTGCTCATGGCTTTTGCTGGAGTAACTCCTGCAGGCAGGCAGCACCCTGCCGCGGGTCCCGCGCAGGCAGCAGGGAGGGGCGAGATGACTCAGGCCACGCCGAGCTGGAGAGCGCCGCGGTGCCAGGCACGTCCCAAATGCTCAACGAGCCCCCGCGCCAACAGCTAAAGCCACTGTTTCGTACGAGCCCCCAGCAACGATTCCTGCAACGCTCATCTGGCAGCAGCCCTGGGAGCAGAGAAACAGCTTACCTTAATGCAGCCAACTATTGTAGTTGTAAGAGCAGAATTATACTGAGTGCAAAGAACCGTGGAGTACATCAAAATAAACCTGCAGGAGGAAGAGCTGACGTTAGGCTCCAGGACGTGCTTCAGGCATTGCCATTCATCCGTGCATCTCTCCCTCTCTTTTCTAGAGTGGTATTTGTACCACCATTTTTTTGGCTAAACCTACACTGAAGCAGGGTAGGAAGTAATTTCCATCTGCCATAGCTCTCAGAAACGGTGTCCCTATCAGGACTAGAGATTTATACTTTTTTTTTTTTTAACCCAGAACAGCCCAGAACACCAAAATACACTACTACTGGAACCCCCCCCAAGCCAGCTGCTGGTTGATGGCTGCGCCCCAGCCCTCGGAGGCAGGCAGCACCCACCGCGGCAGTGTACGTGCTTACCCCATCACACACGACAGCGTAAACTGCACAATGAAGAGTGTGTCTGCCCAGCCCTGGTACTCCATTGCCTGCAAGAAACACACCCCAGCCGTTACAGAAGACCACACAGCAATTCACAGCAAGGTGAGAAACAAACCTCTGACATCCGCTTTCATATCACAGCAGGAAAAAAAAAAAAAAAAAAAAACAAGAAAACAAAACACAGCCCAGCATGACATCCTGGGGCTGCAGAAGGGCCTGCTGCCCACAATTGCCTCCCAGCCCAAGCTGGCACCCAGCACACTCCTCCTGGAAAAAGCAGTGAGCAACAGTCGTACAAGCAGGAGGAACCAGGAAAGGCATTTCCCAGCCATCTGTTGTCCAAAATCACCCTCCTGAGAGCCCTGTGCAGCAGCTGCAGACACCCACATTTTGTGCATCTAAGCTGCCAGCAGCAGCAGGAGCCTCCGAGCTCCCCGGCCACATCGGGATCCCCAGCAAGAGAGCCCTGCCACCGCCACCCACAGCGGCAGCTCTCCGGGCTTCCGACATTTGAAAGGGACATGAAAAGTTCACATATAGATCTAGTAAGTTCTGGGGGGAAAAAGCTCAGAAGAGCCCTCACCAGGGACTGGGATTAGTGAGCAAACTGCAATGCTTAGACAGCATGTCCCACGGGAATTTAACCTCTAGGGACAGTGCTGACAAAGTGGCTAAAGGAAGTCTGGATTTCATGGTAGGGCTTTTTTTAGTTGGGTTCTGTTTGGTTTTTTGGGTTAGGTGGTTTGGGGGTTTTTTTTTTGGGTTGTTTGGTTGGTTTTATTTTTTTAAATACGTTATTTAAAGTTACACTCCATTCAGCCCAACCCACGTTTTAGCCAGCTGCAGGTCTGGGATGACTCTGAGGACAAAGCTCCAGCAGCAGGAGATGGTTTGCAGGGAGGGAGGCCAGAGGGTGGTGCTGCCGGCCAGGCTGGGGACACAGGTCAGGAGAAACCTCATGCAGCTCAAGGGGAAGTGCAAAGTCCTGTCCTTGGGGAAGAACAACCCAAGGCACCAGGACATGCTGGGGGCACCAGGACATGCTGGGGCCACCCGGCTGGGAAGCGGCTCTGCAGAACAGCCTCAGGGTCCTGACAGACACCAGGCTGACCATGAGCCAGCAACATGCCCTTGCTGCAAAGAAGGGCAACGGTGTCCTGGGCTGCACTAGACAAAGTGCTGCCAGCAGGTCAAGGGAGGGGTTCTTTCCCCTCTGCTCAGCACTGGGGAAGCCACCCCTGGAGTCCTGGGTCCAGCACTGGGCTCCCCAGTGTGAGAGAGACATGGACATACTGGAGAGAGTCCAGCAAGGGGCCACCAAGAAGAAGGGGCTGGAGCATCTCTCCTATGGGGAAAGGCTGGGAGAGCCGGGACTGCTCAGCCCAGAGCAGAGCAGGCTCAGGGGGTCTCACCCATGTGTACGAACACCTGCAGGGAGGGTGCACAGAGGACGGAGCCAGGCTCTTCCCAGTGCTGCCCAGGGACAGGACCAGAGGCCATGGGCACACACTGACACACAGGAGAGTCCCTCCGGACATCAGGAGACACTTTTTCACTGTGAGGGTGACCGAGTGCTGGCACAGGTTGCCCAGGGAGGTGGTGGAGTCTCCATCCATGGAGATACCCAGAACCCAAGCGGACATGGTCCTGGGCCACCTGCTCTAGGGGACTGGACCAGATGAGCTCCGGAGGTCCCTGCCAACCTCAGCCAGTCTGCGACACTGAGGAGGTGAGGGCAGAACAGGGCGATGGCTGGTCCCCCCCACCTCTCCTCCCAGTGGGGCAGGGACTGGCACAGGGGATAGAAGGGCTGCCACGTGCCCAGGGATCCTGCCAGGCAGCTGGAACAGTGCTTTCCAACAGGGACACGAAATGCCAGGCTGGGGTGGACCTTCCTGCAGGCGGTCCATCCCCTTCATCCCCAGGAATTATTTGCAGGGCTTTGCTCACCACCATCAGCATGCCCATTTCTGCCTCTCACAAAGCACGGCATGACAAGACATCGTTACCTTTGATGCTTGTTAATGAACTACAAGATTTAACACACCGACGAGTATGGTGGGAGGCTTTCCTATGCAACAACCCCATCTCCCCAGCATGGCCCCTCACCATGCAGCCCCCCATCCCAGCTCTGCCCCGGGAGCCATCCCCGTGCGAGACACGTTCAGCTGCACACCCTTCACAAGAGGGTTTTTCATCAGCCTGCAAACGTGGCGTTTCCTGGCAGCAGCCCCAACAGAGCGCATCTTTGTCTGCCTCCGGCTGCCAGGAGCTCAGCCAGGGAAAAAGAAGTTTATTCAGGGGGAAAAGAAAAAAAAAAAAAAAAGAAAAAAGGAAAACACAAAAAAAAAGGCAATTTCTCCACAGGCTGAACAGAGGCTGCACAGTGCAGCACAGAGCAACATTTTGCTCCCTGTCCGCCAGCTCCTGCTTATAAATGAGCACTTTATGCCCAAATATATCCCACTGAGTCGCCCTTTATGAAGGGCAGGGTCTGAGCTACCTTCACCCCACGCTTTTCCTCGCTAATCGCGGCTCATTATCTTAGTGACTGCTTACCGGGGCTCATCATCAGGGCATTAAGCTCCTAA